GCCCTTGGATGCGCCGTTTTGGGCAAGTTGAACAAGATCGACTCAAGCATCCTGCCAGTTCTCCATCTGCTTCGCAGCCTGCGCAAAAGGGTCTGCCTAACCCCATACCAGAACTGTTAGCCTCGCCACACAAAGGCCCTAAGCATTTGAATGGGGGTGGACTGCCCTGGCATTGGAATTTAGGGTTGGAGACGTCTAGAAACGTGCACCGTATAACGGCTGAGCAAGACAGAGACCAAGACTCTCCACATCTCAAGATTGGACCCATCCCTTGTGATGCTAAGGTTCAGAATTCACCCAGCCAATCGGGGGTGATCATGTGCCTCAGGGAGTGGGGTTGGGCAGCTTGCTTGCGTGCTCACACACCAGTATGCAGAGCATGCAGAGCATGCAGAGCATTCTCTTGGCACCCTCTTCATACACAACTTTCCCTCCCACTAATCATTAAAGACCCTTAAGAGCAGGAATCGATTGGAGCCCTGAAGCTCTGCCTCCGGAAGGTGGGCGCAGTCTTGGACGATGCCTTCCCGCCTTTCTGTGGCAAGACATTCGGGAAGTTTGGGTGGACTGCGTTTTTTCTCTTAAAGGGCAAAAAAGGCTTCTTTATCTCGAAGAAGAGCTAGGAAGGCTTCTTTGAAACCCCAGCAAGCGCAACCCCAAATCCGAAGCTTCTTAGCCCCCAGAATCAGAAGCACAAGCTTCCCCCCGCACGGCCTCTGCTGGTAGGTCGCCCAAGCACCCGCATTCATCACCTCCACCGCTCCGCGCAGCTCATACCGCCTGGGCTTGTCAGTAAAGGATCCTGGGGTGACGGCTTGGAGCACCTTGAGCTTGGGGTTCAGCACTCGCTTTGGGACATGAATCAAACGGAGTCAAAACGACGTGAAGCGACACAAGAGCCTGAAGCGGTCACGGAGGCAGCATGAGTTCAGAAACTCTGCCCTCCAGGCTGGATTTTCAGGCTCTCAAGATGTGAATCCATTTATGCGTGGAACCCTCAAGTAGGCGGCATCATGTCTCAGCAGGGGGCGAGGGCAGTCCACCAGCACGATCTCGCGTCCGGATGCTCAGCGTGGTGTCACGCAGGAGCCTCAGGTGCTCAGGCAGTTCCGGGTTTGAAGCTTTGTGAGGGGCAGGCATTTTGGGCCGACCATACGGGAAACCCTGAACTTCATAGTTTTGGCACCCTCTAAGACCATACTCTCAAAAAGACCCGACGACAAGGAACTGTGACAACCTACATCTCGAAGCCGCGCGCTACTCTTGGGTCAGAACACTTCGGGGTCGGTGGGAAACTGGGGTACAAAGAAAACCTCTGGACGGGTCTCTTGGATTGTGTTGTGTGCAGGCTTTGTTGCATGCCTTGGCATGTGCTGAGGGACATGTTCACCGAGCTGGTGCGAACTGAAAAACTTATCTCGGTCGGAGCTCATTTCCCACTGATGCCCTTCTGTTCTGGTTGCGAAGTCGGGCTGATCAAATCTGAAGTGGAGCTGGGCAAGCCCGTGATGCCACCACATCAGAAAAGTCGTGAAAAGCCCACGTACAGAAAGGGCGGGTGAGGTGGGCTCTGAAAAGTTGGATCTTTGTGCCTCGATGCCTTCGGCACAAAGCTCTGCATCACATGTCACTACGCACATGCTGTGCGACCCGACATGTTCACCGAGCTGGTGCGAACTGAAAAACTTATCTCGGTCGGAGCTCATTTCCCACTGATGCCCTTCTGTTCTGGTTGCGAAGTCGGGCTGATCAAATCTGAAGTGGAGCTGGGCAAGCCCGTGATGCCAAACACGCAGACCAGCTCCGCCGCCCCACGCCCTCTAAGCGGAGCGAGGTTGAAAATGCCACTCAATCGCCAAAGCAGCTGAAACGCCCTCACCAATCGCAAACTCAGGGTCGCGCGCAATGCGACCTATGATGGGCCAAAGTTCGTCCAACTCGGTCGAGAGGATATCCCAGCCATGAGTGGCAGCAATGCTCAGATCGCCTCTACTGATCTTGTCAGAAAGATTGGCACTGCTACTCACCCATTCAAAGTGGCCGTGCCATCGCATGCGAGTTGACAGGGCATGAAACCACGAAAGGAGGTTGTTTATGGTTTCATCTCGACCGTAGCCTTTGGATATCGCAGCCAAGCCTGCACGATTGTCACAAAAGGAAACCCAAAACTTGCTGAGATGCCGGTGATTCGTCAAGAGGCAGATCGCCTGTGCCATTATTTCAAGAAAATAAATATAAGCCCTCCGGCTGCAAAACATCTGCAGGATGTTGGCCGGGACGCGACCATGCCCGGCAGTCACATTTGGACCCTTGCGGCACAAGAAGCCCCAACCATTCTGAGCCAGGTGCATCCTTGATGGCCACCGCGTTGGGATGTTCTCGGCCCCAACAGACCACTTGACATCGCCCAGCTGAAAAAATGCATCTGCGTACAGGACAGCGCTAACGCAGTGTCCTTGCCGAAATGGTAAAAACCTGGGCAGAGGAGTCTCCAGGACTGTTAGGAGACACCGTAAACTCGCTCTAAGGCCACTGTTCAGAGCCGAAGTGCCGTCGCTGCCAGCCTGGGCCCGTCCATGCAATGGCCGGGTCAACGCATGACCAACGCGGCCCCACAACGATGTCGACAAGAAGCCCAGCTTGCCAGCTAACTTGCTAGCGGTCTCAGGTGTCAGTTGATCAGTCAAGAGCGAATTCCTGACAGCCTCAGACACGCGCCTGACGCGAGCCTCAGAGGGCGCGACGCGCACGCCGTCCTCACATATATCCAAAATCACGCCCTGAATCTTCTGGACCTTGTCCGGGGGCTGACGCTTGGAGAATTTCAGCCGGTAGCCCAGCATACTGCAAAAGGAATCGAAGCACTCGAAACTTGACAATGCAGAACGCACTGGATCAACACTACCCAGATCATCAACATAATGAATCGCCGGTACTGCCAACAAAGATCTAGCAAGCCACAGCAAAGCATCAGTCATTTTGTTGAAGTGAAACACGCTGGCCGTTGCTCCGAACGGCATCACTCTGTGTCTCCAGAGCGTCGGTCCGCTGGGAGTCATGACAAGGACATAGCAATGAGATGGGTCCTGCACAGGGTATTGCCGATAAGCCGCATGAAGGTCCTGCGCCCAAATGCAGCAAAACTCGCCCCTCGATGCCAAGTGCCGGATCATGGAAACATAAACTGAAATATCATCGTGAGGGGGAACATCGCTGGCCCTCACAGTGTCGTTGTGATGACTACGACGATAGTCTTCACACCGCCTGACTTTCCTCTGCCCGTCAGAGCCCTGCTGCACGACAGAAAAGGCCCAACACACGGCTGGGCGTCAGGACATGGCTGTAGGACCTCAAAACCCGGTGCATCCTTGACCGGGACTGTCTCGCAAGGCCAACCTACCGGAGCTGCAAAAGGACCTTCCATCCGACCCTCCTGCACTTCTCCAAGAACCTCTTGCAGTAGGGTCTCCCATTCATCATCTACCCGGGGTCTCCTCAACCGGGACTGAATGTGACCCTGATTTAATTTCACGAAGGTCTCAAACCCGATCGGCTCCTGATAACGACCGTCAGTCCGAGGCAACCAACCTGCAGTGGGCCTGATAGCACCAAGCATGTTCAGCCCAGACGACAACTCCCGCTCGAGCTCGTCGACATCGTCATGGCCGCAACCTCGGAGGAGTTCAACGAAAACTGGCACTTGCACGTGGCTACCATTGTCACTGATAGTGTATGCTGTTCTCACATGTGGAGGCAACGACTGGAACCACTCGTCTGAAGATTGACGTCGTTTCACAATCAGTTCTGACAAAGACTTTAGCACAGCAGATCGAAATGGAGACAAAATGTCGCCGATTGCTTGGATGCGATCGTAAACCTTGCGGAGCGCTTCGCTGACACGGGCCTCGCACAGCAGCGGATGCTGCACGTCTGCACTTAAAAGCCAATGCTCCCACTCGTCATTTGAGGGGGGCATGCACGCAAAATTCGGCCAGTCTGGGCCTCTGTGCAAAGGTATAGGGTCTGACCTGCAAGCCTGCATGACTGCAGACAGAAAGTAGCCTGAATCAACGCCCGCATGGAGGAGTCCGGTTACTGCGGGAATCCAGCCGCCTCCCCAGGCAGGCCCATGATCTGGGCTCTGCTGCCCCTGGTCCGACCCCAGCTTGCATCGGGAACCTGCTGCCGGCACGACTTGGGACAGGACCAACCAGATGACGAACTTTGCCACCCCAGCATGCCAAGAATTGCCCAGGGCGCGATGACGCGCCCTAGGCTCGACGTTCTGCTGTCTGGTGACTCCTGCTCTGAAATGGTGCGCCTGCTCCTTTACTTCTGCCGGCAAAGTCATCATTTCGCCGCTCTTGGCCAGCACCATGGCGGTAGACCCATAGTGCCACGGAGCGTATTGCTTCTGGCCCTCAAGCCATCGGCGCTTGGTCGCCGGTTCCAAAGGACCCCGCATGTTCTTTGGAGGGTCACGTCCTGCTTCATTCACAGCGGGGGTGGTGAGGCACGGGAGTAGTTTGGACCCGGACACGACATCCGGGTGAAAACTCAAGCCCGGCATGACGACGGATCTCGGTCATCCCGCGGCGGGTCGATGAAAAGCCGAGTCACACCCGTGTGCTTGCCCCATCGCAGAGGCTTCTGATTGACCGGGTTGTCCCGCAGCTTGCTGAGGTCCATCCTTGTCCACCATAACCTCGGCCTGCTGATGAGGCCGAAGTCTGAAGCGCAGATAACCAACGGCGTCGCTCGTAAGGTCTTGCTGAAGTAATTGATGTCCTCGCGGCTCTTCATGATGACATTCTCCACGACGATATGGAAAGTCTGATTGGGCAAACCCTCTTCCAAGGCTCGAAGAAACTTACAGAAGACGTCGAACAACTTTCCTGTCGCCCCGGACCTTCCGGCGCCCTCTGCCATCTTTGAAAAGTCAGGGCAAGGAGGGCCTGCTAACACCAGAAGATGCGATGGAGATTCACGAAGCAGATCGCTTATCATGCTGACGACGGTCTCCGCATCATCAGCCGTGATGTCGCCCCGATCGAAGCGAAGACCCTTGAACAGCGATCTGGAGATTTTGCTAGCTTCAACATCCACCTCCCAGGTGAAAAGTGCTCGAATCCTCAGACCAAGCTCCTGGATGACAAGGCCCCCCGTTCCCATGCCGTCGAAAAAGGACAAAACTAGCACATCACTGATCTGGGGCAACGTCGCCTCGTCGTTGTTCATCTCGGAGAAGCGGCGCTTGCTAGGGGAGGACGCGGCTGGCTCCTTAAGCATCGCCTCCTGGTACGAGGCCACGTCGGCGAGGATCTCAAGTGAAGCCTCCTTCCAGGTTCGGTTCGCTCTCAGGGCTGCACACAACCGCCACGATGCCTGCTCGAAGTAAGTTTTGAAACTGGCCACTTTGTTCGACTGCGTGCGGGACCGCTTGATCATGGTGTCAAAGTAGTTGTGCACCCACTTCTCTGGCCCGACCTCGCAGAGAATGAAACACCAACGGATGCTGTTCAATCCGTCCATGACACTTAATGAGCCTTTTGGCTGCCACTCGTCATCTTGCTGGGCGTCCTCCTTGAGCACGCCGTCCTCCACCAGCAACTTCGTGGAGCGGCTCTTCTTCGAAAGAGGGTTCACCTCACCATTGGATTGGAAAGACCTCCGTGACAAAATCTCGCCCAAACCCACTGGCGAATACAACTTCGTTCGACGATGCTCGTCAAGCACCCGGGCAACTATGGCTTCTGCTCCCAACAATTCCCGTTCCGGGAAATCGTCTCGCCTCTCCCCATGGAGAAGTACAGAGTTGTACTTTTCCAGCAAGACTCGCCATTCTCCAGCCGGAAGAGTTTTCGGGGTCTTGGTGCTGGCATCTGGAGTAGATGAGGGCGCTGCCCCCAACGTTCCTACCCCTGGAGTGGTCGTGGCAGGGATGGCGCTAGCTGCTGCAGACACCTTCTTGCGCGACTCAACGGCCAGATGCCACATGAAACGAAGCACTGCTTTCGCTATCGGCTTCTCAGTTGCATCTAGAGTGATGCCTGGCGCCGCTGGTTCTGGCCTCCATCCAGCCAGCAACGGAGCCACGACTATATTGTCGAAGTGGTCCTGATCTGTGGCGATCAGCGCCAAAGTGCCTGACGAGCGGATGCCCCGTTCCTGCAAGTAGCGGGTCACCTCTGGCCCTGCCCCAGCCTTCCTTGCTAGGTCTTCCATGGAAGGTTCGGCATCGGCCATGACTAACGCAGACTCTCGTGCCACGCATCACACATGAACACCAAACACCTTAGAACAGCCCTACGTGACCAGTGACGTGTTATGAAAATGCATGAGCCGATGGGTCCTGAGCCTAGAGCACAAAGGCAAGGAAGAGTTGTCAAAAAGATCAGTTTCTGAAGTGCTCGTCCTGACTGAGCACTTAGACTTTGACTACGCAGAATCATCACACGAAGTCTCGCGACGATCTTGCAGAAGCCCTAGATGCTTCCGTGCTGGCCCGCAGACATGTGCTGTCAATGCATGGGACGTTCACGTTCAATCAACTGCCTCGTTGATTGCTGACGAGCAACTGCATGCTCGAAGAGTCCAGACTCGGACACGGGTTTTGCAGTTGTCGCTCGTGACTCCTCCGCGAATTGGAGCCCTAGCTACCATCATACCATCATACGTGCATTGTCCTGCCGCGGACTCTGCAAACTACAGATGCGCTAATCCTAAGCCGTCTCAAAAGAAAACTGTCGGCCCGGACGCCTGCCGCAAGACAGCGGCCGCTGCGCAACTGTCCGGCGCGATCCTCTCCATTCTGCTTGCCCGAGACGCCACTCATCGTCAAGTCCTGCAGGGAACTCGGCCCCACCCCGTGCATGAGGCTGTGACGTGTCGACTTGTACACCCTGGGCAGATCCTCTGCAGAAGCCCCGAGTGCAACAAAGCGAAGAGGGGGAACCCTGAACTGGCAAGGAACCGAACCAAGAGGCCTCAACTGGACATTTGCACGAAGCTCACGCTCCGGTGCGCGCAAGACACTCTGCTCGGCGACAGCAAAACTACACGAAGCTCACTCATACTCCCCTACCACGGAGCTACTCTCTGCATCGGTAGAATGGCCCTCATGGCTCGATGAGGAAGATGATGACGATGATGACGATGATGAGCTGGAGCTATCGTCGCTCCAGCACCTGGAGCACCTCTGAGCATTGGCAACGTCAGACGCCAATATGCGAAGAAAGTTCCTGGTGCCATACGGCCAACCACAACGAGTTCGCCACTTCTTGGGAATGTTCTCTTTCTCATTCACTTTCATTCGATGAACCAATCGTGACCTTATCGACTGAATGCATGTGTCCTGCGCGGCTCTGGCAGCTCGCTTCAAGCACCGCACCTCTTCTTGAAGAGTCGTCAAAGTCTCGACGATCTGCTGCGACGCAGGGTCCTCGTTTGTTCCGGGCTGAACTGCCATCGGAACTGGGTGCATCTGTGTGTCTGGGGCCACCTCCTCGGACGAGTGAAGGGCCTGACTTGCCACTCCAGGCAACTGCTGCAGAGGCGCGCTCTGGATATATCGATGAATGGCTGCTGAGCTCCAACGCCCCAGCAATTGCACTACTGTAACACAGATGTTCATGCTGATTAACCACTGCGCTCCTGACACCCTACAGCAATGCCCATGAAACCGCTGCGTGGGACGGTTCGCTTCATCGGGGCGACAAAGGGATTGCCCCGACGCCGCAAGCACTGACCTGAAACCCTGAACCATCTCAGTCTTGGACAGCTCGCCGCCGGCGAAACTGGCCGCGAAACCAAGGTTCTGCTCGAACACCTGCAGCCGACGCAAATGTCTCTTTGCTGCGTGAAATGGACAAAAAGGGTGACTACGCCACCGACAGCAACAAGACAAAGTCCTGGTCACCAAAGAACCCTGCGTGTCGGTCTTCTGTACTGCCAACAAAACACAGACCTGCTGACCATCCAAGTATAGGTGGCCATTGCGCAAGCCACTTATCTCCAGCTCTCGCATCATGAACCATGTAGCTATTAAGGTCGCATCAGTCATGGCCTCAAGCCGCCGATGAGACCATGCAGCCGCATCCTCGGCCGACCTCTCTATCAAAGATCGCAATCGGCTGACCTCAAACGAATCCTTCAAACTTTCTGGGCCGAGGCCCCTCAAGATGCTGCGCTGGCAGTCACGAATGAGGCCTCGCAGGAGATGGCTAACTGGCATACGCAAAGTCCTCTCCTGGTACTTCACGACGGCGGCGAAGTACTGGGCGCATGACCGATATCCGCCCCGCTTCATGCTCGCAGCGCATCTGCATATGTTGCTATGATCTAAAGGAAAGGCCGGCACTCGCCAACCGGAGCACCAAGCCTGCCATGTCCTCACTCGGCTGTGCACCGGACCTTGCGTAGACGGTGCTAGGAAATCCGCCTCAAGGCGCTGTAAACTGCTGGCCTGATTTTCGGGCTTGGAGGCTTCCATAGATGTTCTGAAACAAGCCCGCTTCCTGGGAGGCAGTGTGGGGATATCATGCCGCCTGCTGGGCCCTGGCACACTGGCTTCTGTGGCAAGCTCTCTGCCGCGAACCAAGAGATCGATCTGTTCCTTCGGGACCCCTTCGCTAAGCAGGCGAGCTTCGCTTGCAACCAGAGCACCAACTGACGAAATGCCACATTCAAGCAGAGTTGGCGCTAAGTCATGAAGATTGTGGAGCCTAAGCAAAGCCCACAACTCTGCTGCCATTTCGAGCCAATTAAAAAACTACAGAGAAGGTTTCGCTGCTGAAGCGAAGCATGACCCTTGCAATGACACCCTGTCCTGAAGCCACAACTTTACTGCCATTTCGAGCCAATTAAACCTACAAGAAGGTTTCGCTGCTGAAGCGAGGCACGACCCTTACAATTCAACCCTGTCCTGACTCGCGGCACGAGGTGCCTTGCTGATTCAGCTCAAGCCAGCGCGCGCTGCTCCCCCAGGGAGAATGACCACAAGCCAGCGGCGAAGCTTCTCAGGGCCCCTTGATGCAGCCAGATCACGTAGACTGTTTCGAGACAAAGACAACTATCCCGTGAGAACACAGTCGTCATTGTCCAGTCACAAGGGGGGCGAGCAGGTCCTGCTCTTCATAAAGTGGTGCGCCATCCCGCGGACTGAGCATCGACGCCACATCTAGAATGTCGTGATGCAGCAAAACCAGGGTATCGAAGCCGTAATGCCTCGAGCGCTCGCCAGACGACGCAGCGGTCAGGCGTTCTGCGTCACTGCACGAAGCCATTGCTGCGAACCTGCTCTGAAAAGTTGGATCTTTGTGCCTCGATGCCTTCGGCACAAAGCTCTGCATCACATGTCACTACGCACATGCTGTGCGACCCCCTATTTCATTCCTCAATGCCGTTGGTTGTCTTAAGACGGTGAAGTCTTGGCGCTTATTGCTTCAACCATGTTCTCTTGGCACGAAGTATGCTAAATGAAAGGATGTTGGCGACACGCCTCAAATTCAGATGTCAAGCTTTCCGGGGTTCGTGAGGCCAAGGGATACACAGTGGGCAACGAGGGTATGTGGATTCCCGCCAAAGAGCATGGCAAAGGTGGACAGCAGGGAGGAGTCTGTGACCTTGAGATGAAAGCATCATCGGGAACGTTTCTCGGGTGTGACTGGTATAAACCTGAGCAACTTACAGCTGCAACCGGGTTCAGAGAAGGAGAAACCCCAACTCTGGGCATGAGCCCAAGCCGCCTTGTTCTTGGCCAGCAGCTTCTTCTTCGATCCTCGCAAGACAGCTCTCGCACGCTCAAGCTGCATGACACATTGAAGCACCTCCCCGCCAGCTGCAGCTGGCCATGCGAGCCACATCTTAGCAAAGGCAGCAGAGCTGCGGGAACAGCCATCGCACGCACGCGAGCAACAAGAAGCAAGTGTTCAAGAAAGCGGGTAAGTCGTAACGACAAACTGGACGAAACAAAGAGTTAGAAGCATGGGCACGGCATGCCTGGCACCTGTCTAAACAAGAGTTACACTGGTCACGCCTGGCCTAAACATACAGCGGAGAAGATGTTCTGCCTGAAAAACAACAGAAGCTGCAGGCCCTGTGCAGACGTACAGAACTCCGCAGCAAAACAGAATAAGTGTCGCAGCGCCCGCATTTACAGAAGCGCCTGCTTCACACAACTGCCAGTCCCCCCCCCCCGGCAAAAGAACACAAAAACTAACAGAGGGCACCTTGGGAACCCAATACTCAGTGGGCGCTGAGCAAAGAGTTTTGCTGGGTGGTCTTTGCTACTTGTTTTCGCTGTTGCCTTGGTTGAGGGTTTGGGGGCGTAGGGCTTAGGGAGTTAGGGCCCAAAGCGTTGGTCTTGGGATTTAAGATTTTCATTTTTGAGGGTTCCAAGTTCCGGGCTGTTGGGTGTAGGGTTGTAGGTTTTGGGGTTCGGGGTCTAGGGTCTTTGGTTTTGTTTTTTGGGGATTTAGTTTTATGGTCTGGGGTCTACGGTTGAGGGTGCAAGATCTAGATTTAGGGTTTAGGGTCTCCAGGGTCTGGGTTGTGGGGTTCATTAAGTCTTTTCTTATCTTTCTTCCTTGCCTTCTTTCCGAATTTCCTGAAACCGAGAACGAAAAGCAGTAAAGGCACCCAACAAACATGTAGAAGAATGAATAAGTAAACACGCATTGTGGGGGGGGAGAGCATGAGGAGGTAAAACGATGAGAATTCACCTCTCGCGGCCGCTGCATAAAAATAGCAGCACAACACACAAAAGAAGGCACGCAAAGCGGCACGCAAAGCGGGACGAACTGACATGCCCAATGCAAACGCTGAACGCTGGCTGCCTGTGGTTGTTACAACCCGCACCTGAAGAATTAGACTCACAAGACAAGTCTGAGGTGGCATGCACATGGCGCTGAGTTCCGCGTCATGCGCACCGTCCTCGCAGCAGTGCCTCCATGGACCACGCGGCGGGAAGGCGGAAGAGGCTCTGCAAACGCTCCTCAGGTTTAGGGCTTGGGGTTCGCTTGGAGGCAAGCGACCCAATTAACCCATGATACTTATGTCCCAAAAAGTATGGATACGCAACTACAGCTCCCTTGCTTGCAGCTGGCTTGTATATACAAAAGTTTCCTCACGACGAATCGGAAGGGGGGGCGGAGGGGGGGCAAGCGGAAAGAGCCTGGAAAGTTAACCCTCTAAAGCCCGAAGCCGCGTCTCGAAGCCCTGTTGCAGGTCGGTTTGGCAAGCTGCCAGGCCTGGTTGCATGAACTACTTGGTCAATGGGAGCCTTCGATTGCGTTTGGGGTTCAGGTGCTGGAGATTGAAGGGATGGCAAAAACTATAGCGAAAGTTGCTATCAGGGGCATCAAAAAGACTCATGCCTCGACTGCAGTGCGCCCGACGTTAACTTGCGCTGACCTCGTATTGTTGACCACTGGATCTGCCCTGTGGCCCTGATTGGCCCTGCCTCCCATCTCCACCAAGCTCTGGCACGCGCCATGCAGTTTGTCATCATCTCCTCGCAGTCGTATGGAAGATGCAGCCTACTGATGTCTGCCCGCAGCAGTTTCATCAAAATCAATGATGGAATGTGCATGGCAGGCTGACATCTTTCTTGAAGTTAAAACTGGAACTCGCTCTGGATGGAATCGGCTATGATAAGTTTAAAGACCCAAACACCTCAACTTATGCGACACTCCCGTACCTGAAAATGGATCGCCAACAAACAGCAACCGCCGGCCTGCCGCCAGGATATGGCGAAGCAGCTGCCTCCGCACTTTCAGCTCTTCCGGGAGGATCCAGTCCTCGATGATTGTCTTGCTTAACCCGCCAGCCCTCACTGGCTGTTGCCCTGCATACTCAGTGTGATTCGGTTTCAAAATTCGGGAGTTGGGAGGGGGTGGAAGATTGCGTGTTTGACTTGGGGGGGTCCTTGCTGTTCAGGATCTGCTGGCCACGCCAACGCTCCCAGCACCGGAATTCTTCGCCCCAGACTCCCAGACCCCTCCACCCTTGAATCCTGATCCAAACCCGAACATCCCTAAAAGCCTCAAAGCTCTAGAGCCACAACCTCCAAAACGTCAGGAATTTCATGAACCTAAATCCCCTGCAAAGCGGCTGGCAGGGGCGCTGCGTCGCCCAGCAGGGCTGCCTCGTGCAGGATCTGCACGGTCCTGGGTACCAAGCCCTTTGGATCCTCCCTCAAACCCGCCTCAACCTTCCTCAACCTTCAAACCTCGTGGGCTGAGGGGCCGGATGCACGCATTGGGACAGGGATGGAGGGCTTGGGGGGGGGCACAATAAATTTGGCGGCGCTGACACGAACTCGCTTGACAGACACCAATCAGCAAAGGCATTGTCGTTTGGCAGACTGACTCATTTGGTCATGTGGTGTCACAAGTTGTCCCATGCATGAAACCATCCCTGTTGTTGAAAGCTGAGGATGGCTTGTCATCAGCGAATGCTCAAGATGAGGGACAATGAGAATACAACTTCTGCGGCTCGCAATGTTGTAGAGGGTGCAGGCTAGACAGCAAGCCAATGTAAATAACTCCAAGAGGACGTGCATGGCCTTTCTGAGGTGAAGAAACATTGAAGGCTCAAAGTTCATTTTCCGATCCCAGATGCCAACGTTGAGCCCAAGGCAGCAGCCTACATCCGGATCCCAAATCGCCTACACTTCGTGGAGCGGCCAACCAAGGATGTAGGGTCTGACCAGTTCTGGCGAGCGGCAACGCCGCATCCGCGGAGCGGAAGCAAGAAGCGATGGTGGGGCCGACCTGCAAGCACCTAAAGATTGCCCCGTTCTCCGTTTTTTTGAAGCCAAATAGTCAAGCCTTACTTAACCTCCCCGGACTCAAACCTACTGGTGCTCAAACACGTCGATTCAAAGACCCTGACGGCCAACAGCCAAGCTGCACCCCAAGCCTCGAAACGCCCCTCAGACAGGCCACTGCAATTGCGAAGGACCCGGCCTCTTCCTCTGCGCCTGGAAGCTGCAGCTCTCTCCTGGAGCTGCGCTTCAGGCCGGTGGTCACTACAAGCTCCGAGGAAAGCTCCAGAACTTCAAGCTCAAGACGGCTTTTAAGGCTTTGGAATGCACCCTGAAGCACAAGACCATGGAAAAACCTTCGATCTGCCGAGGGGCAATACGTGGAGCGTCCAGGCAGCGGCTGTGGCAGAGGCGAAGCTGCGAGGGAGCCCCTGAGGTGTGGAGCTTAACCGTTGGAAGGGGGATGGGGGCAAGAGACACTTCTGCATGGCAGGAACAGCGCTCACGAATCAAGACCTAGAACAAACAAACATCTGTGGGGCAGACGGAAGATGGCGGTGCGGTGTAGCATGCTATGCAAAGCACAAGCCATGCGGCGTGTTAGGGTTCTGAGCTCGGTGGGCGCTTTTTTTGGGTGAGTGTCGGCGCGGCCTTGGCCACCAAGTCCTTGACTGACTGCGCAGTCCTGGGGCCAAACGTTCGGGCTTTGGGTTGATACATGCTGGGCCCGAAGCTCTGGAAGGAGACCCGAAGCTCCACACTGAAAACGGCAGGATAAACCCAGGCACTTGCTGTAGGGATTATGGCACTAGGATCAGGGACCACCTGCGCCAAGTCTCCGCCCAGCCTTGTCCGAGGCCAGCGCCGTTTCTCAGTGCGGTGCGACATCACCGGGATGCTTTAAAGGCTTTAACGGCTTGGCTTCTTTGAAGGGGGAAGCTGCCCAAGGTTGGGCCGTAAGAGCGAAAGTTGCCCCCCGGACAACCGCAAACCCTGACCAGCAGCTTCTGCCCCCAAACTCCAGGATGCCAACCGCAACCAAGGTGCTGACAGTCATGATTGCGTGGCGCAGCTTCCGTCGCTGCTGCTCCATGGCTCCAGACCTGGAAAGGGGGGGCCTCCTGGGAGTCTGCAGAGCCCTTCCATCCCTGAAGGCCCCAGGGAACGGGCCTTTGAATATCCCTGCAAAGAAGGGAAAAGTCATCAAGGCCCCAACAACGCTCAGACGGCTTTACAAGGCTGCAAGGCAGCCATCTTTTAGGGGTTCAGAAACGACTTCCAAACCTTCCAAGGTTGAGGACTGTCCTCATCGAAGCCAGGCAGCCGGGCAAAGTCCGGGGAGAGAACTGCCTGTGTCTGGGTCTGAGGATGATAAAATCAGGCAAACCTGGGTTGAGGATCTCAACTGTTGCCTGTGAACAATCTGGCACGACAGCTCGAGCGAGAAACTTGTGGTGCAAGTGCACGAAGCCGCGCGCACGGCAAAGGCATAACATCGAGGCCCGAGCTCCCTAAAACCCTAAGCCGAAACGGGAAACTCCGACACATTAAACACCAAAACCCCAAAAAAACCCAAGGGCCTCCAGCAACTCCATGGCACGGAGCCGCTGCACTTCCTGCGCATCTTCTTCGGATCTTCTCTCGGGGGGTTAAAGGGATCCCATGGCCCGAGGGCTTTTAGGGCCGGGTCTTAAGATGCACCTTGCACTCCGTCCTTAGTTGGGCCGGCACGAAGACAATCACAAGGAAAAAAGCCTTCCCAAGAAGTCAAACCAGAGATCCCAGCCGGGCCGAACCCAAGAACTGCGTCTTTGCGAAGCCATATAGGGACAGCAGCCCTCAAACCATCAAGTGGGCCGCGAGCCAGCACCGGCTTTGGTGGTTTGTTTGCAAGGGCCTCTTCGAGTCCAGCTCCCCCAAAGCTCTGGATTTCAAGGCGTTGGCTGCTTGGAGGCCCCCGCCTTCAGAGTCCAAAAGGCAGCCTTGGATTTCAGAGCCCTGGGGGCTCTTGAGATTGAAGCGCCCTTTGATCGCCCTTGTTTTTTTTTTTATTCATGAGGCCTGTAGCATGTTGCGCTCGGTGAGCGTCTTTGAGCTCACTGCAAACTGTCAGTCTGAAGCACTCGGGCTTCAGCGGGCAGCCAGCAGAAGCTAAAGCTGGTAGAAACAGATCTCAGGGCACAACTCAAGACCAGTGCTGAGCCAACAACGCATCTCTTATGGATGGCTTGTTCAGTTGCATCTCGCAGAGCCATGCTTTGCGTAACTGCCATTTCTAGTTTAGTTTTGTGGTGGGGAGATAATGGGGGGGGGTGAGGTGTTTAAAGATGACAGGGGCCCCAAACCGCTAACGCAGACACCCAGAGAGCCCCTAAACTTCAGGCTCAAGGCGTTGGGAGCTCCGGGGCTCCGGGGCCTGCTTGACGGCGGCAAGGCGCAACGTTTCCAGCCGGGCGCTGCCCACGGTCGCGAGGATGGCTTCCACCTGGTGAGTTCAGGCTACTTAGCTGCAAATGGAGCACCAGGTACCTGAGGTACCCCAACAAGAAAACAGGAACCACAACGTGACCACCATTGAGCTGGCACTTCAGGTTGAGCGTTGAGGGCCTGAAGGAATCCTGAAGGCCTCGGACCTCTCCGACACAGGAGCTTCAGCGTGAAGTTTTGGACTGGTGGCCACTTGGGGTCTGCACCTTGTGCACTTCTCCGCTTGCCAGCTTCTTCTCTGCTGTCGCACAAAGGGATGGCGCGAGGACGGCCAGCAGGGACTCGATCTCTGCAGATGCCGAACGCTGTGCCCGAGGAGCATGAAACCTCAGGCAGGTTTGACAGCTTTGAGACCTGTCCTTTCATCCGCATATACAAAAGCTGCGCTCCACAAAAGGCTGCCAAGCCACCTTTGTGACTAACACGTCAACCCGACTCAACCGACTCAACCGACTCAACCGACTCAACCGACTCAACCGAACCGAAGATGCAAAGCAGGGACTCGGCAAAGTCCAACGCCTCCATGAAGTCCTGCCAAGGAAGGGGGGCCAGTGCTATCTGTGATAGTCTCAGTGCTTGGGTGAACCACACTGGCCGTTATCGTTCCCTTCCACTTCGGGCGAGGCAAATTGCATATGAATGGCTGCGCATGAAGCTGCAATGGAGGTTCAACCCCCCCAACTCGAAATTCAAACCCTTCCCCGACCCTCCCATGCTGCTCAACGTAAGCCTCTGGAAAGCCCCTGAAAACCATAGGTCCTGGGTTTCGAGCTTCAGCCCTGGAACTTCCGAACAGTACCAGTTTTCACCTTGTTTATGTTCATCATGCTTATGAGTCATGGTATGACTTTGATGACTATTCCATCATCAACCCCTCAACCCAAGTGATCCTCCAGCTCGGGGCCGGCGGCTCCCGCCGGCTCCAGGAGCCTCTGGGCCTTCACCAAAGCCTCCCAGGAAGAGGGGGCGTTCGGCCCCAAAAAGGGCTTCTTCGCGTCACGTTCCACCCCACAACTCTCCAAGGTTCTATGATTCCCGAGACGGCACTTCCGAGGGCTTTCGAAAGGCCTCGTGCGGGTCGGAGGCTTTGGGGATGTTTGATGGATGTTTGATGGATGTTTGGGGGCTTGTGTTCACGGACTCGAGGTCGGCGTGGCGCGAGGCTTTCTGAGGGCCTGGGGCTTCGAAGTCTGCTCAAGAAGAAAAGAACGAAGAAGGAAACCATAATGGACTTAGACATACGGCTTGACCCCACCGCACAGCATAAACTCTCAAAACGCGATCACAGCTGTGGAGCACCAGCTGCGGCGATTCGACCCGCAGAATGTGAGTCGCGTGGGACCGTGAATCCACATTCCCTCACACCGAACTTGCCAAGCTCGGCCTCCGTGAGGCAGTGGTTGTCCCACCTCCGCCGCAGGGACAGCTGCAGCGTGACCTTCACAGGCAGGGCCGCAGGCAGGGTCCAGGCCGCTGAGACCCTACAAGAGAAGACTCCTTAAAGTGCTTCTTGGCTTGAATACCTGCATGGCCCCATCTCCCCCCAAACCCTCCCCCATCTACCCTCCCCGCACCTCCTCGTCCTCGGCTGGGAGGCGCCCGGCCAGCCAGAGCGCTGCGTTGGCATCCTCCCGGAGTTCCGGTTAGTTGGGTTCAAAAATGTTCAAAAGGCATCCAATCAGGACGGACGTGCACACATTTGTTCACACAGGTACGGTCTCGGTGGTGTAGCTGCGGTGTCGCTTTGCGGGGAGTCTTGTAGAGGCTCGAGTTTCGTAGCGTCTGTGACTAAGTAGCACAGTCTGCACCTGGCTTGCATCGCCTGATGTGGCTGCAGAGTTTCGGGTGCTTAGAGTTTCGGGCGCTAGTTAGAGTGCTAGTGGTAGTGAGGGTGCCTGGTGCTTACGGGACTCAAGCTGTGGTGCTGCTCGCCTTTGCTGGCGCTTGAGGGAGTCAAATGGCCTTCTCGCTGCCGAGCCGCAGCGCTTCATCAAAGATGGCCTGGGAGCTGAGCTGGAGATGCAAAACTCGGAGTCTTCCGCCCTTCCCCCCTTCCCTCTGCTCATGAAACAATGGTACTATTGGTACTGCATGAAACGCTGCCACAATGAGCAGGACGGAGAATGGCAGAACACCCTCTGCGCTCCTCAATCTTCGGCGAGCACTCCTGCAAGGCTCGGCGTCCCAGCGCGCCCTGCAAATCCTCGCCAGAGGCACGCCTACAACAGCGGGCTCGAAGTTAGGAGAGGAAGCTTGGGGCTCTGGAATGCTGTGGACCATCCTGAAGGGTAGCACACCCTCGAACCCCACAGGCCGACAAGATACCCTGTTCAGACCTAATGCCCAAACATCCCAAACCTCAATCGCGCTACACCCAGAAACAAGCCCAGAGCAGGTGCCCCAAGCAGGCGCCGCAAGAAGGATCCAAACCACGGCAGCGCGCAAAACTCAGTAGCGATTAGTGTGCAACCACAAGTCATGCGTTGAGTATCGTTGTGTGATGGCATGATAAAAAGAAAGCAATGCCTTCTGCCAAACTCCAACATGAGCCTTCACCCGACTCAACCCTTGTATACCAAATCCCTGGCCATGTCATGGATCCTCAACCCCCCGAAAGTTTTCGAAAAAGCCACAGCCCTAAAAACCTTAAACCCTCAACCCACACCCACGTCGCGTGCAGATCTCCAACTCAGCCGGCTAAGCCCCACGGGCCACGGGCCTGAGGCTCTCCAGGGCCTGAGCCAGCTTCCGCCTGTGTTCCTCGCTGCCTGGGTCGAAGCTCGGCACCTGCGGGAGGCCCGAAGGGGCCTCTGATGACCCCCGGGTGTTTTAGGAGGATGCAGAAGAAGGGCCCTTCAAAAGGCATAAAAGGCATGGAGATGCCGGGCCTCTGCAAGCAGCTCGAGCGCATGAGGTACAGCCGTGGGCCGGGAGCCATCTTCCCGGACCTCGAGAAAAGACAACTCTCTCGTTTGAGCCTGCACTTGCACCAGGTCTCGCAGCCGAGCTCCCATGTTCTTGAAACATAACATGCATATCTCCAGACCACGCTGAACTTCGCCAGCACTGCCCCCAAGCGGCACTGGTCTAAGGCTTGGGGATTTGGGGGCGCACAGTGCCAAAGGCCTCCTTAGCAAGCTCAAGCCAAGCACAATGGTGCCCCAAGGACGCGGCCGCCAGGTTGGCAAGCCCTTGGCTGGCACCTCGCTATCTGCGCTTTGGAGCTGCACTGATGGCGAAGGGGCCAAAGGTTTCGTGCCCCAAGTTTGAGATTGGAGCGAGTAAGGTCCACCTGCTCCTCTTAGGTTGACCTCCAAATGCTACACACTGTTGCTCCATGAGATTTCTGCACCCGAGTCTTAAACCTGACATGCTGTCGGACAACCAAATCGCAAAATCCAACGGCCTGTCGCACCGAAGAAACCTTAGGAAGCCTTTTGGAACTGCCCCCCCCCCGCCCCGCCCCCCCGCACCTCGGGCAAAGCTGGGGCGCGTCTCAGACCCTTCTTTCGAGCCAGCTCGCGCCTGAACTGGAGGGTCAAAAGCTTCAGGCCTCACTGCACGATTTCTCTCAGCTGTCGCTAGAAGCGCATTGGTTTCGCAAATTTTCGCAAGACATCTTGCTTCGACAGAAGTTGCGTATCGAGAAGACCCACACCCTGTCCGAACCCAGGGTCGTTGGATGAATCCCCGAACTCCCTCCCGCCCGAAAACACCCGTCACCAAAACCCTACATCCTCAACCCGACACCTTCAAACATCTCAAAGCACCCGCAACCCCAACCCTTGAACACTCCAACAAATGCCCTCAACCCTTGCCCAGGGCCTGGTGAACCGGCTCCACCAGGTTCTTGAGGCCGGACCCCGCTTCCGGGGCGATGCTGACGAGGCCGCTGGCACCTAGCCGCTATCTAGCCGTGCCCCGAAATGGGCAGCTCAACTCTCCAACGCTTCTCCAATGCTTCTCCAACGCTTCTTCCGTTGTGTCTGAAGACATGTTGGACCTGCACTTCATGACTGTCCCGTGTCCGGCTCAACGTTTAGTGTCTTCAAAGGGCTTGGCTCCAGCCGTTGGCGATTCACCTCGTGTGGGGTTGGACCCCACACCGGCTTTGTGCAAATGTCAGGTGCCACATGCGCGTGCCACTTGGGTCAACAGTAAGGAGGGTGTCCCATATGCAACCTGCGTGACCCTCAGACGGTCTGACCGGCGTGACAATCGACTCCTTCACAAGCGCCTTGGGTACTCAGTCTCCGATTTCTGGCCACTGCGATTGCAAAACCACACCATTCCACCTGTTCCCCAGCCCCCCGCCCCTTTCCCCGCCACCTGGCCTTACACGCAGCTAAATATCGGGATTTGCATTGCTTGTAGGCTTGTCCGTCTCATGCCCTCTCTTAGACCTCTTGGCCTTGCAAGCTCGTGTTCTCAAGTCCTGGAGCTCAACGATTTCTTGGGAACTGTCTGATTCTCGTTTTCTCGTTCTGCTGGAGGTCGCCTCCTTTGTCAACAACTCGCCATCAACATCAATGTAGCTTGTATGCCCGAAGTGTGCCCCAACGCTCGAGGACTTTGATGCTTCAAGCCGTTTGTGTGTCTGACAAACAACTCAACTGGCCCACGTTCACTCAAAAAACGTTAGAGTTTTCCACCAGTGGCAGCCAGACGTGGGGGGGGCCTTTAAAAACCCCCAGGACCGGGGTGCCTCGGCTGAAGCTCGGCTTGCTCTCGGAATCCTCGAAGGTACTGGCCTCAGCGCGTTTGAGGGCTTTGGGCGAGATGCTGAAGCTTGCAGGACCTAACCCTCTCAGGCTGCACCTGACAAACCTCTCGGAAGCCATTTGGAAGCTATTCTGCCCCTGCTAAGCGGTGTTGAGGGGTTGTGGCTTCGGGGTTTAGGGTGCACACCCAAACGAAGGGCAGGCGGCGCGGTTGAGAAGGCCTCCAGAGCCACGCGTGCTGTGGTTGACGAGAGTGGAGGCACCTGGGATCATGGTTTTGGGCTTGGGCAGTTGGCTATGAGGCCAGTGAAGAGGATTTCGGGCTTTCAGGCACTTGGGCTTGGGATTGAGCCGCAGCACAAGACTCCAAAAACCGAAGCAGACAAAACTCACCTCAATTCCCACCCCCAAAGGTCGGAAATGCCCACCCCAAACCCCCAAACAATTTAGGCGAAAAGCAAACCCAATCCAGGGCACCGCCAGCAGCGAGGTTTGTGAGGCCCCGTCGTGGGGGTTCCGGCCGGATACCCGCGGAGAGCGCGAGGGAGAGGCGGAGTTTGCCGACCTGCTTAGGATTTTGGTCTTCAGAAGTTGTAATTGGCGTTTTCACGGCCTAAGGGTTCCGTGTTCTTAGTCTCATGGTCTGGGTGTTAAGGTTCAGTCAAAACGCGAAATCACGTACCACCACCCTTTCATCTGCTGGCTGATGAGGGATGCTCCAGTTTGGGTGGTTTGGGCTGCAACAAAGCCTTTCCGATACCTGCCCGCCTCATGCCCCACCTGCAGAATTGAAAGAAAAAACACGCAAGCGCACACACACACACACACACACACACACACACACACACACACACACACACACACACACACACACACACACACACACTCTCTCTCTCTCTCTCTCTCTCTCTCTCCCACACGCATAGCCCCCCTCACGGGAGGCTGCCCCCAGGGGCGCGCACGTCCAAAGGTTGTCGGATCGGCCTCCCTTCCCGTTTTGGGTGGGCTGCCTAGGATGAGGTGATACTTTCGTGGTGGGCCTGGGGTTCCAACATTGTTGAACAGAGAAGAACGCTATCCCCCCCCTAAGTCCCCGGCTAGACAATGTTTTTCCCCCTCTGTGGTCTTCCACCTGTACTCTCACACTCTCTCTCTCTCTCTCTCTCTCTCTCTCTCTCTCTCTCTCTCTCCCACACGCATAGCCCCCCTCACGGGAGGCTGCCCCCAGGGGCACGCACGTCCAAAGGTTGTCGGATCGGCCTCCCTTCCCGTTTTGGGTGGGCTGCCTAGGATGAGGTGATACTTTCGTGGTGGGCCTGGGGTTCCAACATTGTTGAACAGAGAAGAACGCTATCCCCCCCCTAAGTCCCCGGCTAGACAATGTTTTTCCCCCTCTGTGGTCTTCCACCTGTACTCTCACACTCTCTCTCTCTCTCTCTCTCTCTCTCTCCCACACGCATAGCCCCCCTCACGGGAGGCTGCCCCCAGGGGCGCGCACGTCCAAAGGTTGTCGGATCGGCCTCCCTTCCCGTTTTGGGTGGGCTGCCTAGGATGAGGTGATACTTTCGTGGTGGGCCTGGGGTTCCAACATTGTTGAACAGAGAAGAACGCTATCCCCCCCCTAAGTCCCCGGCTAGACAATGTTTTTCCCCCTCTGTGGTCTTCCACCTGTACTCTCACACTCTCTCTCTCTCTCTCACACAGCGCACTCGAATCGCATTCGCACTCGCACTCACACTCGCACTCGCACTCGCACTCGCACTCACCTTCATGCAAGGGAACACACACACACACACACACCTTCAAAACAAGCCTTCAAGCACAAACCTTGAAATTCTGCACTGATCCCAAGTTTCTGAAATCCCGCGCAAGAACATTCGGAGCCTGCCGAGAACTCTCATACAGTGGGAGCACCTGGCGTGGCTTTTCTGAGTTCAGCTTCGACTTCAGCATGTGCAAGTCTAGCCTCATCCATAGCTTTCGGCTTTCGGGAGCTTTCGGGTGTAGGGGGACCTCGGCATATGACAACCTGAGACCCGAAGGAGATCCTAAAGCCTAAACTGCCCTCAGCTCAACCCGCCTGGCCTGGTTCCGAAGGTCTGCCTCCGCAATCTGCGTGACGGCCAGCTGGCAGCCGCCCAGGAAACGAGAGCCAAACGTGCCTCCCGCTCTTGACAGTTCTGGGGGGGGGGTGAGGGAAGACGGGGCGCTTCGGGTTCAAAGAGGGTTCCCTCGCAGTTCGGGGACGCCCGGGGCTCAGGCGGGTTTTGGGTTGCGTGGCTTTTGGGCCCACTGGGGGCACCGTCTTTCTGCCCCCATAAGAACCTTTACTGGTTCATGCCCATCAAGGCCCATAAAGCGATTTGAGAAATCTTCGGTTTTCAACTGGGGCTTGTGAATCTCAAAGTTGTCCAAACCATTTCAGAAACCTCGGAAAGAGAAAATCTGAAGCGAATAACTGAAGCTTAAATCTTTTCAAGATCTCAATACCATTTGCACCCATCCAATTGAAAATTGAAGACTGAAAGGTTGGTTTTTTGGGGAGGGTCTGCGTCTTCGCTTGCTTTGCGCGGTTGGTTTGCTTACAGGCGCATCTTTGCGTGCTATCTGCGGTTGTTTTGCATATTGGCGAGCCTCGCACAATACTGGTGCACTTTCGCTTACTATGTGGTTGATGCTCCTACTAGTGCATCTTCGCTCACGAAATGCAGTTGCTTTGCTCACTGGCACGTCTTCGTTACTAGATGCAGTTGCTTTGCTTGTTGGTTCGTCTTCGCTTACTGTGCGGTTGTTTGGGTTGTTGGTGCTTCGCTTACTGTGCGGGGAGATTGCGTTTGGACATGTTTGGACGCTCATGGAGACTGCGATCCAGATCTCTTGAGATACGAACACGCGCTCAGACCGCTACAATTCAAGATCGCCGCATAAGCCTCGATTTCACCCCAAATGTGTTATTGATGGGCCTCGGCCGAACTGTCGAGTTTCCTTTTTGACGACATACAGTGTAGCTCCCCCACATCCACCCCCGTTATTCTTGAAAGAACCAACAGACCTCCCCCCAAAGTGTGTGAACAGTTCAAACCCCCCCCCCTTGAAATCCGCGAAATTATCATGTTCGACCGAACCTTCTAAGCAGAGACTAAACTCAAGCCGAGCTACCCTAGCTTTCGTGATTGTGGTTGTGAAAAGACCCATTTGCTAAAACTAGCCCCTTAATACAAAACGTTTGTACCACAGATTTGCTGTTTTGTAAACACATTCATATTGCACGACGCATCCTACTTATCGCACACATCCCCATACCGTGGCCATACGATGAGGGTCTGTCAACCTCTAACCCAAGAATCCAGGGAAAATGTCACATGTGGTATACGTAGACAGACTATGACAAGGTAGAGCCAACTCAATTGAGCCCTTCCTCGCAACACGCAAGCGAAGCTGCATCACACAGCTTTGGGAATTTGAGGGGTTTTTGGGGACCTGGCCTTCCCGTCTCAGCTGGAAGGAAACGTTCCGTGCCTGAGGGGTACACGGCATTCGTTGTTCAACCATGTTAATCATGTCAATCCTACACTGTCCTACACCCTAAACCCATTCAAACCCAAAAGGCGCTAAACCCCAAACCCTAGATAAACCCCTGAACCTGCATCCGCCTTACCAACAAAGTTTCTGACATGTCTAGCCTGCAGAGAAAACACCGTGATAACAAAAAGCAAAATCTGCTGAGCCGCCCGTTACGCCCGAGAACGGATAGCCGAGAAGGCCCCAGCATCCACATTGAACCGCTGCCACCAAAAAAGTGCGTGCGTTTCAGACAAGCTGACCGACCCCATCTGAAGCAGCAATATAAAGAAACCATAACAACCACGTCTCCGAGCACATGCGCGGTGAAGAAAAACGATCCGTGCGTATGTCTTTGGGCCTGCGCGAGGCCGCGCGCTGGTAAGCGAACCGCGCGCAGTCAGGCAAGGCACTTATCAAAAGCTCATACCTCCAACCACTCGAGCCACTTCCCCATCGCGACCGCTCAAAGTCGCGACTACTGTTTTTGTTTACGACTTCGGTGGTTCACCGAACTCCCTGAACCTAAGATACCATTGTCAGCCAGTTTGAAAGTCAACCTTTCTCGGTCCCCAGCTGCATCCGGACATGCCAGTTCTGCTTGAAAGCTCCATCGTGCGGACCCAAGCGCCTGGTGGCTACAGCTGCAGAAAAGGATCTAGCAGGATCTGAAAGGATCTAGAAAGGATCTGAAAGAAGGCAATGGGGGTCGATGCGGGTCGATGCGGGTCGATGCGGGGTTTAAGGATTTCAGGGTAGCTGTGGAGTTTTGATGAAGTTTGGAAGCCGAAGTTGGAACGAACAAGTGAGGGACGGGCAGTCGTAGCATGCTATCAGAGCAGTACCTCATCCACTGCCGCTGTGCGAATGGCTGGTCCATCGTCAATCTGCGCAACAACGAAAAGACGGTGGCCTCAGGAAACTCAGTCAGGGTTTTGTGGGCTGGGGCTGGGCTTCTCTTAGGAACCATGAGCATGGGTAATTAGCAGCCTAAACAAGGTGCTGCACGTTCCAAGCAGCGAGATCATCCAAAAAAACACAGGCGCTGTCAAACTGCCCCACGAAATGCCCAAAGGATTCCAACGGCAGACATCCATGAAGTTCAGAAGCCGGCACAAAACAAACAATTTGAGGGCGTGCCAAAGCCCAAAACCTAGAATGAGGACTACAAGACATTTCCAAACGTTCGTGCTTTCAAGCGGCCGCCGAAGAAAGTGCCTGCAGCTCAACACTAGGGTCACAGATGTTCACAACCTAGGATACGCAGGATGCATATCTTCCACATGGTCCTGCAAACCATGTTCCACTGTGCATTCAATTGAACTTGAATACGAACCAGCTACAGCCTGGCTTCATGTGCAAAGCGTTGCGGACGAATCTGCAAAGGTTGTTGGCCCACCTGGCAACTGCACGTTGCTGGCGTCCTCAATGTGGAGCGAGAGCTTGCGCTCTGCCATCGCACCGCATGGGATGCCGATGCTTGCTATCTCGTAACGACAGAATAAAGTGGGGACTAGACTCCAGTGGTGCACAGCCCTGCAGGCTTATTTGAAAACAGCCTATGGTGCTAAAATGTTGTATATCCGGTGTTGATGTCGAACAAGGGCAGGTTGTGGGGCACCAACACATACGTAACCAACAAAGCTATAAAGGCTGTGAGTAGAGCCATTCAAGTAGCCATCCATGCCCATCATGCCCAGAACTGGAACCCCGACAACTGCAGATGCTTCAAAATTCCACTTAGTTAACTCACGTGGAAAACACAGTCCACCTTCTTCGACCTCATTCCCGGTGCACTTGGCCACCTTGCAAGGCAGCGGACAGGTGGCTGCGCCTGTCTCTGTCTGTCTGTCTGTCTGTCTGTCTGTCTGTCTGTCTGTCTGTCTGTCTGTCTGTCTGTCTGTCTGTCTCTGTGTGTGTGTGTGTGTGTGTGTGTGTGGGTGTGGGTGTGGGTGTGGGTGTGGGTGTGGGTGTGGGTGTGGGTGTGGGTGTGGGTGTGGGTGTGGGTGTGGGTGTGGGTGTGGGTGTGGGTGTGGGTGTGGGTGTGGGTGTGGGTGTGGGTGTGGGTGTGGGTGAGGGTGTGGGTGTTTGTGTGGTTGTGGTGCGCGTGCGCGTGCGCGTGCGCGCGTGCGCGTGCGCGCTTGCGCGTGCGCGTGTGTCGCTGTGCGCGCGGCGCGGCGTTGCTCGTGTGCGCGTGCGCGCGTGCGCGTAGCGCGCGTGCGCGTGCGCGTGCGCGTCGCGTGCGCTGCGTGGCCGCGCGCGTGCGCTGCGCTCGTGCGCGTGCGCCGCGTGCGCGTGCGCGCAGTGCGCGTGCGCGCGTGCCGTGTTCGCGTGCGCGTGCGCGCGTGCGCGTGTGGCGCGTGCGCGTTGCGCGTGCGCGTTGGCGTTTGTGCGTGTGGCGTGGTGCGTGTGTGCATTGCTGGCGTGCCTGCGCTCGTCGTGTGTGTGCTCTCCAGCCGGTGTGCGCTCGCGACGCGTGCAACAGTGTGCGCGCGTGCGCCGTGCGCCGTTGTGTGCCAGCCGTGCCGTGCGTGCCTCCCGCCTGCTCGCACATGCATGCCTGCCTGCGTGCCTGCGTGCTCGCGGCCCCGCTTTGCGTGCCCTGCGTGCCTGCGTCCTGCGTGCCTTCGTTCCTGCTTGCCTGTCGTGCCTGCGTGCCTGCTTGCCTGCTGCCTGCGCGCCTGCGGGCTTGCGTGCCTGCGTGCCTGCGTGCCTGGCGTGCCTGCGTGCGTGCCGGCGTCCTCCCCTGCCTTTGCGCCTGTGTGCGTGCCGCCGTTCCCGCGTGCCCTGCGTGCCCTCGTGCCCGCGTGCCCGCGTGCCCGCGTGCCCGTGTGCCCGCGTGCCCGCGTGCCCACGTGCCTGCGTGCCTGCGTGCCTCCCTGCCTCCCTGCCTCCCTGCCTCCCTGCCTCCCTGCCTCCCTGCCTCCCTGCCTCCCTGCCTCCCTGCCTCCCTGCCTCCCTGCCTCCCTGCCTCCCTGCCTCCCTGCCTGCGTGCCTCCCTGCCTGCGTGCCTCCCTGCCTGCAAGAAAGCAAATAATTTGGGGCACACGGCCTCGAAAGCATGAAGCCGGATCCCAACGGATCCAAAGATCCAAGACTGCACACAAAGTCCCCCAGGAGCATCTTGGGTCTTGGGTCGACTTCATTGAGTCGCCTGAAGGGCGCCCAAAGGCAAAGTACAACCAAATGAAACCTAGATAGAAAGACTACACCAATTTTCAAGACCCACACAACTCGAAGAAAAGCTAAGACCAAAGACATGAAGAATGAACGACTAGACTGCTGGGCTTGCGTTTATCGTCTTGAGCTAAAGATTTCCATTCCCCGACCGGGACTCAACCGAAGTGTTTTGCAATCGCCCGCCCTTGCAGAAAGCAGTCCCTGTTGGCCTCGCATTGGCCGTTTGGCGAAGCAAAGGCATGAATCGTAGCGTGCGGGCGCACCATGTGGCGCCCTCGTGCGTGTGCCAGGCAGCTGTCTGCCGGCTGCTGTGTCAGGAAAAGTCAAGGATTCGTATCTTTTACTGCATGAGATTCGTAAGACCAGGACCAACCCGAAAAGGAACATAATTATCAATCAAAGCATGTCTAGACTTTAGCGGGCCGTTCATCCCATCAGTACAAGCAAAGCTGAGTGCACTGCTGAGCTTTGCAGCCACTCTGGAAAACAGATTGCGTGAGAACGAAGTCTACGTCACTATGCCAGGAGCAGCACAGCAAGTCCCAGCACAGCGGCAGAGGCAGTGCCGGCGATTGCCGAGCTGGGCGGCTCCCCGCCATCGCCATCGTCACCATCGTCACCATCATCGCCATCGTCTCCATCGTCACCGGTCATGTTGTCCGCCGTCGACGTCGTCGTCGTGGTCGTCGTTGTCGTGGTCGTGGTCGTCGGTGCAGCGACGCGAACCGTCGACTTGCCGGTGACCTCCACGGTGCCTGTGAAGCCAGTGCTGGCAACAGCAGCGC